TTAGGTAGTTTTTATGACATATGTTTATACATTTATTTTAAAAAATCATGTATTTATTTTGCTTTTTGTGAATTTATAAATAACATGCATATTTATCTCTTAGGTTTTAAATACTGAAATGTTGTCATTAGTCTGTTGTGAAGATGCTGATATATATACATCTACAGTTCCATCACCCAGAAAAAATCTGAAGAGAGTGTGTGCATACGCGTGTGTGTGATACTTTGGTGGAAGCAATGTGATAAGTTGGATTCATTATGCAACTTTAAACATCTCATCTGGACTCTGCCTGCTAGTCCATCTTTAACTGGGACTACTACTAAGATTGCAAACTTCTGAGCAGCTTACAACAGCTATTATTAAAACACAAACCTGTCATAGTCTACGCAACCACTTATGTTGGCAAAACTTATGTTGCTCAGGGGTGTGAAAAAAACACTTTGACAGACATAAATTTTGCTGGCATAAGAGGTAGTGTGCACAGTGGTATGTTGGTGACAGAGCTACCACTGCTCGTTGAGGTGGTTTTATTATGTCTGCGGTGTGAAATGGGCAATATACTGTTCTGAAACAATGACAGGTTTAAGGATATTGATCTCTGCAACATATATATGATTAGAAATTAGGGCTTATACAACGGAAAAGAGTTGATTACCAGCTTTCCAGAGTTCCAGCATTAGAACGTTCTGGGATGTTAGGCCTTACAATTATGACATAATTGTGTATGGAAAAGCTATTTTAGATACTTCCAGCATGCTAGTTCAATCAGATCTTGTGTGGGTATGTTTCATCGAGCTGGAAATTACCCTTCCGGTTTGAAGTGTAGACATATCCTTAGGTACCTGAACTGTGCTCATCATCATGCATTTGAGTATTTTCAGATAGTAAGAGACAAAAATTAGTACCAGTGCAATTTTTAAAACACTTGAAAACATTTAAAAATAGTTATTTTTTGTAAAATATCTGACATATAGGAAATGTGAAGTGGTGTGGAATAAAGGACTTACTGGTATTCATTTGTGATGATGTAAATGGGTGAAATCCTGTTCCCAATGAAGTCAAGGATCAGGGTTTCACCCTAAATAGCACAGGGTTTTCACCCAAAGCCCTAAAGGACTCATCTTGCTCTTATTGTTTTACCCTGGATGTTTTGTTTGATTATTGTACTGTGTGTTTAAATTATTTGATTATTTCTAAGGAAATAATTTTGTCATAATTTTTTTTAAAGGAAAAATCACAGCCTGATAATTGTATAAAGGGCATAAGGCACTAGTAAATGGTAAAAAAAGACAGAAATTATTGCAGTTTTTAATACAAAAAAAGCCAGATTCTCATCTAATATCAGTTTCACAGTAGTGTTACTCCATTGACTTCAGTAGAATTACTCCTAATTTTCAACCTATGTAAATGAGATGAGAATCAGGCCCAAATGTAAAACCCCGACAAAAATATTGTCTGTAGTTGTGCAGCAGTGAACCATTCCAGGGCCTATGAGAATCTATCTTTTTTTGAGAAAGCATTTTATATATCCCTAAATGTTACGGTTTTATTGCTCTACTGCTATCTATCAAGACATCTTTACATATGGAAAATGAGCACACTATAGAATTAAAATACTAGGCATTCTCCAGCTTCAAAGTGCTGTACAAGTATTGATTAATTATGCCTCAGAACACCACTATGAGGAAGTATTATTATCCCTATTTTACAGATGGGGAAGCTGAGACACAGAGACTAAGTGACTTTCCCAAAGCCACACAGCAAGTCAGTGACAAAGCCAGGATTAGAACTCAGGACTTTCCGGAGCCCACTCCCAGGCTTTAAGCACTAGACCACATTGTTCACTGAAGTCAACAAGCATCTCAATGCAATAATGGACAATTCGAAGGACTCTTACATGGTCAGTGTGTCCATAAATTTACTTGCAAACTACTCCAGTATAACAAGATAATTTGAGCACCTTAGTTCTGTGTCATATAAATTGTTGAGTGTGCAGCCTCTTCAAAATGGGCTAAAAGTAAGAAAAGCTACAATGATATGTTGTAAAACTCAAGGCTTTGATATACCTGTAGCCTCAGAGCCTGATTCTGCTCCCACTGAAGTCATTGGAAAGACTTCTATTGACTTCCATAGAGTCATGGTTGGGTTCTTAATTATTGCTGTATTTTAATTGTTTGTCTCGCTCCTTGAACACTTTACTTGAGGGTGAGAGGAGTGCTTAATAAATACAATTATTTTGCATGTGTTGAATATCACTAAAGTCGTCTAGAATATGCATTCCACCTTCCATGACTTTTATATGGCGGTTTTGGCCTGTACTTCCTGTTTGAGTCTCTCATTTATGAGAATATTTTAAAATAATGACACTATATACAGTTTTGCTGGAACACTAATAAAAATATTAAAAAATGAAATTAACTTCCTAATCTTTAGTCATGATGGGAGGGTGATGGTGTGGTCAGCATGTCTGCCACTATCATTATTCATTAGTTGTATTGTAGCTGTGCCAAGGATCCCAATAGAGATCGGGATCCCATTGTGCAGATTTAGTAGCTGACTTGGGAGGAGAGGGAGTACAGGAACCACGATGTTACCACGGTACTGAGTACAGAACTATATGCTGCTGCATGGGAAGTCAAAAAGCCACAGTGCCTGTTTAGTTGGGCTTGCTCAGGTTTGACCACTAAAACAGGAGCAACATACAACTCTCAATCTAGCTATTTTTCCATCTAATGTTAATGGAAGATGCCTCTTACAAGGGAAGGAGATAAGTTGGACAAAGACTGCCTGAAGATGAAAGGCAAATGTGTGCAGGGGGTGGAGGTGGGAATAAAAAAGTCAAAGGTAGAATAATGTGCATCAAGTTTATAAATAAAAAATGTATAATTTTTAATCAATATTTATTAATGATTTTTTTACTTTTTACTTTATTTTAACTTTTCTATAAATAAATTAATTATAAAAGCAATGTAATATGGATTAGGATTTTTCCATAATGCTGCTTACATAGGGCCTTTTCCTAACCACAGTGAGAAACTATTGGGAATGACTTATGCAAGAAGAGCATTACTTCTTACATTGGTGTAATACTTGGCCTTTTGGCTTCATACCTAACAATTCACCCAGGAGCATGGCAGTATTTCAATGTGACACACACCCTGATGTGTCTTACTGCTTACAATAATAGATTAATTTTGTCTATAATGTTAATATGACCGAATGACTTGTAAAAAAAAAATGTCCTAGTGCATTCAATAGATTATTAACTAACTCTAATGTATTAGGAGGCAAAAAGATTTCAACAGGAGGCTCCTACCTCTTTGTCAAATTTTTGTTATATACCCTTATCTGATAGAAAGATCTAATAAAGGCACTGTTACCATCTCTTTTTAACAGCCTTGTGCTGATGCAAACTACTCCAGTATGATTATAGACTCTCGTATATGAAATAGCTGCAGCATAATGAAGGCGAGATGAACCTAGAGTTGCCAACTTTGGTTGGATGAATTCCTGGAGATTTCATTACATGACATAATCTTATGATTCCTGGAAACTCCAGGACAATCTTGGAGGGTTGGCAACCCTAGATGACCCTGAAGCAAAATCTTGGATCCCAAAATGCATACTGTTCAGCTCTAGATCCAACCCTTGCTGTTTCTCCTTAAAGGAGAAGGGCTCATATGGTGCAATTTCTCTTCATGTTCCTTTCACTCTTTTATCCATTTTTAGCTTTAAACACTGGTATTTTAAGCAACTCCTCTGCACCAGGCTTTTACTAGGGTGTGCTTTTCAAATATAAAAGTCAGGAAGGTCTAAATTCTAATATCACTTTCTAAGCCTCTTCCACTTACACTGACGTCATGTAATATATATTCATTATATGTTAATTAATGCTTTTGTTTATTTAATTTTTTTTCTCTTCATCTGATCCAGTAGCCAGTCTCTTAATTTTGTAAAATGAAGGTATCTGTTTTTGTAAGCACAAATATGCAGCTCTTTGGGAAACCAGCATTCAGTTTACTACCTGTGCATTATGGCTGACTTTCTAAAGGGTTAATATCTTAGTGAATACTGGGTATATTTAATTCATTACAGTTTGTGTCCCAAATAACTGAAACTAGCAGCATGTCATGCCTTTTAGCTTTAACATTAGCTTTCACTGAAGGACACAATACCAAAGTAGACCATTCCAGCATACAATACACTTACAGTATAATTTCAGAGCATAAAGTATTTACTATCATAGTATAAGTATAGTCAAAATGTAGAGTTGACTGCTTACACTGTTAAAATGTATGGTATAACTACAACATAAAATCAGAGCATTCAGTATATCAAAAAAAAGGGAGTTTGCCTGCAGTATATAGAATTAGAGTACACGGTGTACAGTGTAACTATAAAGCATTCATAAAGCTGAAACCAGACAAGTGAAAGAATTACAGTTCATCTAATAATTGAGACTAATTGCTTTCATGAGATTAGAATTTTTTTCACATCAACATTTTTACTGAGACTGATATTCTCCAATTTAACCATAGTATTAACACTGCTAATGTTTATGATTTTTCTGTTTTGCGCATAGTTCATAATGTCCTCTTGTTTACAGAAGTTCTTTTTCCAGAGCCAAAAATGCATGCATACAGCTGTTTCTCTAAGAGTACAATAGTGTAACTGTCTCAACCGGTCACCTCTTCTTTCATTGTCTGCATAACTTTACTGGCTCATGATTTTATTGCTTCCCAGAAACCAGAATTTACTCGTCATCTCGCATGGTGTCATAACAGATCTAATTTCTTCACATCAAAGCCAGTTTTAAACACTGCACAATAAAAGCTGCCATACGAAGAATAGATTTTAATAAGAGAAAAGAGATTCTTTAAACCTTATGTCTGAGGGAAAAACCATAAAAGTGAAAATTAAAATTATTTATACTTAGACTTCAATCTTGCTAGCAGGTTACAAAAAGAAAAGACTCCTCCATATATATTTCTGTTTTGCAGAGAAATGATGAAGAAGCTGTCGTGGACAGAGGTGGCACTCGTTCCATTCTCAAAACGCATTTTGAAAAGGAAGACTTGGAAGGTGAGAGATTATTTTCCTGTGCATTTCATTGTCTATTTCTTTTCCAAGTGTTGGACACAGTTCCATTCTCATATAAACCCGTGCATGCTCATTGATTTCAATGGTTATACCAGGGTGTACATGAAGGCAAAATCTAGACCACTGTTTTTAAAAGAGGAGTATTGCATATTCCTCTGGCAACATTAAAACTTGGGTGATAGGGGATAAGATTTCCTGAGGATATTTTAAGTCCCAATCCTGTAAATATGCACATATGTAACTTTATACAAATGAGTAATTCTTTCCAGTGAGACTACCTTTGTGGAAAGCTATGCCCATGCACAGGGCCGGATTAACGCAAGGGCTTTAGGGGCTGCAGTCCAGGGCCTCAGACTAAGGGGGTCCCGCAAAAATAAATCCATAATTATATACAATTCAGTGGTCACCAACCTGTCGATCGCGATCGACTGGTTGATCCTGGAGCTTCTGACTGTCAATCGCAATCTCCAGGCCACTAAAAGTCCAGTGGCGCAGCAGGGCTCAGGCAGGCTGACTGCATGCTTTGGCCCCATGATGCTCCTGGAAGTGACCAGCTGCTGGCACATCTCTGTGGCCCCGGGGGGGGGGGGGGAGGGAGGCAGCTCTGCGTGCTGCCCCTGCCCCTAGCACCATCTCTGCAGCTCTCATTGACTGGGAACTGGCCAGTGGAAGCTGTGGGGGCGGCACTTGTGGGCGCAGGCAGCGCACGTAAACACGCTGTCCCCCTGTCCCCAGGGGCACGCAGAGACTGTGCCACTGGCCAGGAGCTGCTGGTGGTAAGTGCCTCCCAGCCGAAGTCTACACCTCGCACCCCCTCCTGCACCCCAAACCCCTGCCCCAGGTCAGAATCCCCTCCTGCACCAAACTCCATCCGAGATCCCGCACCCCTCAACCTCTCCCACACCCCAACACTCTGCCCCAGCCTGGATCCCCCTCCTGCACCCAAACTCCCTCTCAGAAAAAAACCTAATATAACAGCTATTCTAAGGTAAGAAGTAGGCTATTTTGAATTAACTATATTCTACATGTTTTAAGACTGAAATGTAACCACAGAAAAAGCTTTATGTTAATTAAAAGGCAAGTTTAGTACAGCATTAATAGCCTCCATGCCATAATTATGATTGTTTTGTTTTAAATTAGGAAAAAGACTTGTATACAGGGGCCCCACAAAATCTAATAGCCCCAGACCCACAGGAGAGTTAATCTGGCCCTGCCCATGCATAAATGTTTGCAGTATTAGGGCCCCAGTAAACTGTTTGGCTTCACTGCGTGTCCTAAAATACATGATTATTTCATAAAGAGCCCAGTCCTGCTATCATTGCACATTCAGGTCTCCATTAAACAAAATAGATGTTGCATTTTAGAGTTGTGCACTGTCACTCACTTGAATGGGCCTACCCTTTAATGTCAAGGAGTAGCAGATAATTTAGAGATATGGAGTTCACCATAGCACATTGGACTAATAATCCACTTTATCTGGTATCCTTCCTCTAGAAGTGGCCTATGCTTCAGTTTATAATGTATAGATTGTAAACGCTTTCTGGCCGGGACCTGCCTTTTTATTTGTTGGCAAAATGCCCAGCATGTTTTTGGGTGCTATGTAAGTAATAGATATGCAAAATTCAACAGCTAATCATGATAGAGTCAAATCGAATTCTGAAAAATATAGGAATATAGATATTGGGCTTGTTTCACCCCAGGCTCCATGATGGAAGAAGCTTATGCCAGTGTAATATACCAACAAGTCCTGTTTTGCTGGGGAACCCAAAGTTGGCCATTATAATCAAAATGACACCTGCCATCACTTGGAGTGAATATTCTTTTGAGATGATAATTGAGTCCATCTTGAAAAGGAAAGGAAAAGGTGACCAAACTGAAAAATACCCCCAAATTTGGTTTGTTTCTATCCAATAGAGATTTCTTTTATTTTTCTCAATGAAACAAAAAAAATTCATTTGGATTGAATGAAATGTTTCTAATGTTGATTCAAAATTACACATCAAATCAAAATGGTTTATTTAAAAATGTCAAAATGAACTGTTTCTACATTTTCAAAAAAATTTCTAGCTTTTTTTTTTTTGGCTCAAACAACTTGCCGAATTCAACACAAATTCACGAATAGTTTTGGTGCTCCAAAAATGCATTTCCTCCTGCTCTAATGGCAAAAACACACTAATGTGAAATCTCACTGAAAATCTGAAAAACTATTCTGCTTCCAAGAACATTTGAAAAACTGGAAACTGGACAAATATTGATTGAAGAAACTTTCACTCAGTTTTAGTAATTTGGAAAACTAAAAGATCCTGTGGTTTGCCTTGGAAATCTACTAATCTTTTAAAATAATGGCACAATATTATTAACAATGTTATAAAATTGATTAATTGATATAGGATACTGTGGTTAGCAGCTTTTGAGAGAGATTGCTGTAGGATCAACTTGATATCTTTGAAAATACATAACTGCCACTTCCAGAAATGCCAAGTGGCATAAAAAAAGGTTTAATATGCTGTAAGTTTGAATGATCCCATTGCTGTTAATAGAATCCTTGCTTGTCCCACAGACAAGTCCAGACACTCTATCACCTAATTAGATAAATCAATGGCTCTTGTATTGGAGAGTGGACATTACTCAGAAGTGTGACTGTCTTTTTCTCTTCCAATGTAACTTATGATGGATTCTCTGGTGAAAGTTTACATTTTCCCTAATTATGTAACATGCTTCAGCTATATAATATGTAATTACATAATTAAGTACTTAATTATGTAGCTTAGTTCACTTTGTATAATTAGACAATTAGGTACATTAGTTCTTCATCACATTTATTTAATTACATTTACTGTGTTTTAAAAATGTAAATAAATAATAGCTCAGTATTATAGCAGGACACTAGTGTTGGCACTGTTAAGGGTCTGTCTGTGCCTTATTCTTATTCAGGGATTTATAACCTGGGTGCAAGAAATGAATGTTACTTTAGACTGAAACTTGAAATGAATGTTCTTAGGCCAGGAAAGATTTCTTTCCCAAAAATGTGAATAACTGGACATTTGGGAGTTTTCAGCTACTGGTGGTGTTTTGTCAAAAAGGTTAGTTTATATTTCTGATATTTCCATTTAAAACATCCTGGGCCAGGTTTTCATCAGCAAATATTTTTATATTCATATATTTGTGCATGCCTAAATTATGTGTGTAAGAACACAGAGTACACACTCCAATTGTGCATTTGAGAGGGAATATGTCTAGTTAAAAGCCCACTAGCCTGGTGTGCATGTAAATGGGCTTATTCACTTCAGGTATCTGTCTGCATAGTGTAAGTTCAGGAGCTTGCAGTTGGTCCTTTTTTTCTCAAACACTACAACAATTCAGAAATAGATTCTGTGCAAAGCTTTGGCATTCATGTTCTCAGCACAAGTGACTCTTTTTCTCACAGTTAATTTTCATAGAGTTCACAAGGTTATGGTCAGTCACTAATATAGAGCAAATCCTTTGGCTGATCGTTACTTGAATGAAGAGAGAAATTAATCTTTAAAAACTAAGCAACAAGTCTAGCACTTTGATATAGCCACACTTTGTATATGTAATCCTGTAGTCCTCATGCAGGCAAAATTCCTGTTGAAATAGTTTGCATTCACATTTAAATGGGAGTTCACCTGAGGTCGATGTAGAGCTTAACAAACTATGTGCATTGTTACCGGGACTTTACATGCAATTCTGTTGCCATGGCTGCCAATACTTAGTAACATAGCACCTCCCCATAATCGCCGTGAGGGGGCCTCCATCATGCTTCTGACTAAGATCCGTGAGAACAGCAATTTGCTTCTGTACTCAGATCTCTTCAATCAGACATCAGTTCTCCTGTCTTCTAGACAATCCTTTACAGTAACTTATGCCACCACAGAACATGATGTTGGAATCTGCTTGGTGTAATGAATGGTCAGCAACGACAGTCATTAATCACTCTCTTGTCACTGACCCAACCATCTGCCCACCAGGTTTTGACCTGCCGAGGCACTTGTGGTCATCCCTGAATCAGTATCAAACAGGACAGGGCAATTGTGTGGCCAGTCTCTTCAAATGGGGTTTCTCTACCCACAATGTAGATATGGTCAACATCAGACTATGTCGCATATCCTTGACGAGTACCCGTTGACTCACTTCAATGGCGGGCTACTGGCTCTTCACCTGGCGGCTGCTGCTGCTATCAAATTGCAGGGCACACTGCGCATATGCTGAGAGACCTGAAGTAAGGGTTACAGCACTGGGTACTGAAATGGTTTCATTATATAAAGGACCAGTTCTGTACTAACCTAAATTGGGAGCACATGTGCATTGAACAGACAAACACATCAACAAATAGCTACACTATTCTGGATACAGACAGTTTGCTGCTGGCTACCTTTACTATCTGTCTACCAATGCACCAGCGGTGCTTTTTCTGACTAAATAGCTGCCCCATGCACTGCTGATTTGGCTCAATGATTAATAGTATCTAGATATGCCCATGACTGCTCTTAAGGGCAGAGCCTCTGCATAGAACCAACACCTTATACAACTCAGAGTTGCAGCCTGTAAGGAATTTGGAGGGAGAAGCACAAATCGGAAGTCAATCTGTTTACACAAGGCTTAAATGCTAACTGCAGTTGCAGCCTCAATGTAAATAGTTTTCTTTGTGAGACAGTTTAGTGTTAGAAACACGGAGTCCTTTCCTGTTACTGTCCACACACATTACATGAAACATGGTGCCAATGGAAAGTCTAGTGCAACCCACACCAAGGAAGAGAGAGTGATTAAAGGGCAAAAAAAGCAGCACCTAGAAACCAAACAAACAGCCAGCATGAAGAGACTCAGACACCCAGTAATGCTGGATTTCCTGAGAAAAAGCTTGAACAATCATGGAAGCAGCGGAAACAAGAACTGAGTCTGTTTACAGAGCTGACCATGAGGGATAAAGATGAGAAAATGAAGATCAAGCTTTTTTTTACTGT